AAATGTAAAACAATAATAAAAAGGATATGTAGGTCAAAATGTTCTGACATTCTTAAAACAACATATCTTGTAGATGAACTCAGATTACACAACTATTACTTTCTCGTGACTACATTTATAACCAAACATTTTATAAACACACTTTGTAGTTTCACGCGTGGTTCACCTTTTCTCAGTTAAAAGCAAGTTTACGAAGCTAAATAGGTTAAACTAAAAAAAACGAGTCACTTCGATGAGCAGCTAGGCAATTTGTTCAACTCGAAAAACAGCTAATGTCCCGATGAGCTAAGCTAACCTCCACCCAGCACTTATCGATCAACACTTCCCAGGAACTCAAAATTACTCAACACAGTCACATTACTGGTTAGTATGTCACTCTTTACTATCCTAAAACGGAGACATAAAAATAAAAACAAACGTACGCGGGAGAAATACAATTAATCTACTTTTAAAGCCTTCAGATGGCTGGACATGTAGCCGTGTAGCTTACTGGCTAACTGACTTCTGTCAGGCATGATCATCATGGCCAAACGAGCAAGAAGAATAACTCAAACCAGGAAACTAAGCACTTAGATAACCGATTTTGCTCACTCTTTCCATACGTTTAACTTGTAAAGGTGATTTAAGATCGTATAAAGAAAGTTTCAGTTTGACACGCAGTTTGAGATGAACCTTTCAACTTTTTAATTAATTTTTTTTTTGACAGTTGATCATCTTGCGATTTGATCTTTAAAAGCAAACAGAAAAACAAGCAATCAAGAAGAACTCGTCGAAAACAACGGAAATACGACAATGAGTAACGTTATTTGAAGTGCGATGAACAGAGGAAAAATGACAGACGACATGTCAAGCTAAAGTGGATGTGTGTTAGCTGGAGCAGGCAGGCAGAGACACTCACCGCATTCACCAGACTTAAAACGTCCAATTTATAATCCAAACACCGCGATGAGGACCAAAGTTGGATGGATCTGCGAGCAGCTAAATATAAAGCTATTAATCCAGTTCAAGCTATGACGAACATAGTATTTAACTCTCCAAAAGGAGATAATTTCGGGGTTTAGTAACTGCGATTAATTTAGGAGTGGTTTGCTGCTCGTACACTTCAAGCTTCTGCCGCTTTACTTTATCAGGGAAGTTGACGAGACTTTTTGAACGCCCCCTTTTTAACTGACGTCAACTCCGACCAATCAGCACGCGAGACGGCGGCGCACACCCTGAAACAAAAATCGAAGTAAATTAAGATGAATTGAGGCAAGGCAACAAACCACTGCTGGATTATGGATGATGGAGTTCAGAGTTCAGACCTATTTCGGACACAGGCTGCAAAGTAAGCTAAACACCAGCGTCTTGTTGCATTCAGCCAGAGGTTAACCACCAGGGCAGGGCCGCTGGCTAAATTACTATTTTTAATTCATTAATATTAGCCTCCCAAAACATAACATTCGTCCTTTTTAGCTCACGCTTGCTGGATTATTGGTTCACACACAATCATTTGTTTTGCCTATAGTATATTGTGTATATTAAAGTTTGGTTAGCCTGTTCTATTTAGGTGTACTTTCATGGTTTTGCCAAAGTTTATTTACTCATTCATTCATTTTCTTTTCAGCTTAGTCATTTTATTCATCAGGAGTCACCACAGCGGACGCCCCTTCACCCATACACTCTCACATTCACACACACATACACTAAGGCCAATTTAGTTTATTCAGTTCACCTATAGAGCATGTCTTTGGACATTGGGGTAAACCGGAGCACCCGGAGGAAACTCTAATTCTAATTGTTGTTTGTAATAGTAGTAACCATTGATATACGCCACACCGCTTCTTACATGCTGACTTGTCTGCCATTTTAAAATGGCCAGGATAAATGAGTTTCTAAGATGCCACAACTTTACATTGTCTATAGTGTAAACAACAAGAACATTTAAAGTCCAGAAAAATTGGGATGATCTCAAAGATAAATGTGTTGGTTTGTCTTTTTTTTAAATGTAATGACAATGTTTTACATTTTTATTTGCAGTGTTAACTTATAAAACATTTTCGTTTGATTGTTGATAGTATTGCCATAAAAAAATCATATTTCTGAGTCTAATGTGAAGAACGTAGAGAAAAACATCCCTTGTATCATCTCAAAATTACAGAAATTAATTACCATGTCACGTGAATGCATCTTCTGCAAGGTCATGCAATCAACATGGCATCACACATGATGGACCTGCTCCCTGAAAATACAACAGCTTTTTCAAGATGGGTGGTATTATTTTATTAAATTATTTTATATAAGTGTATATAATTTAATCTCAAATGTCCTATTCATGTCTGAGGAATAAACAAAAAGCATGATAGTTTTAAAGATGACTACAACTGTTGTAACAGCAAGACTTACATTTTCTTTTATCATTTTTATAACTATGATATGTCTCCAACATAGTTATAACCTAAATGGCACAGACACATCATTTTCAGAATTATTTTTCCCAGCTGATAAAGATTAACCTTAACCACCAATCAAAATTCACCAAAAATTAAATAGTTTGAGCATTTAAAGCAACATATGACTGCTATTACTATGAACATTATGTGGTTCTAAATTCAGCCACGGATAATACATAGCTTATATTTTAGTACATAATTATCATTCAGTATCGGTTACATGCACAAGATTTTTTTCTTAATGAAGTTTTCAATGAACAAAACAGGACAAAGATAAATAGAAATAAATGTACATTGTGATTATACATAAATAAAAAGAAAAACAAATCTATTGATACAAGACCTTGCGGTAAATGTGACTGGAAAAGCATGATTGTTAAAAATATTTTAAGAAAGTATTTAATTAAAGGTCTATAGCAATTTGCGTAACTTCACAAGATTGTAAAAAATAGCTCTAGACTTTTATTATTAACTTATAATAATTGAAGCACAAATACAAATACATTATTATTACATTATAAACTACTAACTGATAAAAAATATGAATAATATGAAGGCAAGAATATTTATAAAGCACATTTCATACACAATAGTAATTAAAAGTGTTTTACATAAGCAAGAAATAAAGAGACAAAAATAAAAATAATTAAAAACAGATTCAAATGTATTAAATAGGCTTTAAAAAGAAAAGAAAGACATTATAGTGCAATCTGTTGGACAGATGTGTTTTAAGTCTTGATTTGAATGTGCCTAATGTTGGGAGTTTGGAGCACATCTGATCATTTCTGGAAGCTGATTTCATCAGTAGGGGGCATAGTAGCTGAAGGCGGATTCACTGCTTTGACTCAAGGCTGGGAATGTCTCATTTACTTGATCCTAATTATCTGAGGGATCTGTTAGGTTTTATTCAGTGAACATATCTGTAATGTATTGAAGTCCTAGGCTATTCAGTCATTTATAGACTAGTAATAATACTTTAATAATACTCTTCTGCATGTAACTGGGAGCCAGTGTAAAGACCTGAGGACAAGTGTGATGTGCTCCGATTTTTTGATTCTGGTCAGAATCCTGGCAGCAGCATTTGGATGAGCCAGTGAGGAATGCATTACAGTAATCCACCCTGCTGGTGATAAAAGCATGAGCAAATTTCTCAAAAAACTACAGAAATGTATATAGTTTATAGTTTTTGTGCAAAATGTTTGTTTTTAATTGTAATTTATGCTGCAAACTCATAAAAATTTAATGTACATTGATATGCACTAATAAATATGCAGTAATATGTAATGTAATGGCTATATAAAGCAGTATTCACAATTTCCAATAAAAATTATAGCTTTAATGCAATACAATAATATTTTCCATTGTCGTTGGGAGATATACAGAAAACAGTTTTACATTTTAAAATGTGAATATTTTATTAAACATCCATAATTTCATTTTTTGGTGGCACAGTGGCTCAGTGGTTAGCACCGTTGCCTCACAGCAAAAAAGTTGCTGGTTCAAGTCCTAGCTTGGCCAGTTGGCATTTAATTTTTTATCAGTTAGTAGTAGTTTACTAATAAAATGTATTTCGGCTACAATTATTATAATTTTCTAATAAAAGTCCAGAGCTTTGTTTTTTTTTTACCATTTTGTAAAGAATTAAGCAAATTGCCATAGACCTTTATTTAAATGCATCCTTAAATTCTTTTCAACAATGTTCTAACTTAATTTTATAAGTTAAGCTAGCTGATTTAAGTCAGTTTATCATAATGTAAGTTCAATGGACTCATACGGTTAATTTGATTCAGCATAAAAATTTAAGGAAACCAGGATGTTTTTACAGTGTAGTAATAGCAGACATCTGTTGTTTTAAATGCTCAAACTTTGTCAGCTGGGAAAAATTGTTCTGCAAATGATTCCAACTATATATTACTCTGTGCTATTATCGTTATAACTATCATCTCGTCATAAAAAACGAGTTTGCACGTTCTCCCCATGTTGGTGTGTTTCCTCCGGGTGCTCCAGTTTCCCTCAGTCTAAAGACATGCTCTTTAGGTGAACTGAATAAACTAAATTGGCTTACTATATTGAGCATGTGTGTGCTTCTCAGTATGTGTATGGGTGTTTACCAGTACTGGGTTGCAGCTGGAAGGGCATCTGCTGTGTAAACCATGCTGGATAAGTTGATGGTTCATTCCGCTCTGGTGATCCCTGATGAATAATTGGACTAAGCCGAATAAAATGAATGAATTTTACCTTAAAGTTTAGAGTTATGTTAAACTAAAGGCCTACTTTTAAAATGTAAAATGAACTATCAACAATCTGAAAACCACGAACATTATTTAGCTGCAAAATCTACAACAAAAAAATGGTTTATCCATAAACCATCGACATTTCGACGTTGTATTATGCAACTAATTTGTCTATTTGCTCGTCTGGGCCTATTCCTCAAGCTATCTTGACGGTGAACACAGCACGCAATAAAGGGGCGTGCGCGTACGCTTCAATGTCGGACAAACTTGCTTTTTGCAGCGCGCGACGTCACATGAACGCCTCGCAATGGTGAGAGGCAGAACTGAACTCACGAGCACTCAATGCTCAGCGAGAGGAGGAAGAGCGAGAACACGCGCTCGCGGCCAGCATAAACCTGCTTCCATTCAACACAGCAGCGGTAAGAGCCTCGGATCAGCCACACAGACACTGAGATGTACAGTTTAAGAGTCAAGGAGGAAACGGGACGAGTGGAACAGTAGTTGGGACTAGCTTCGTCTTTTTAATGCTGCGATATGTAAATACATCTCGTATGGCGGGGGCTCCACATGTGAAGCAAGGCATAATAATCCCACAGCGAACAGTGTTATGATACCCAAATGATGCTTTATTGTCTCCCCAACAAGTTCACATCTATTTTTTGCTGCACATTTGTGTATTTTTGTAGCCACCATATTATGATGTGGGCCTTAACATGGGTTCACTTGTGTTGATGTATATCTATTTAACGTTATATTATAGGATGAGGGACATCAGATTTGACATGGCTTTATATTAGTTCTCATTCACTAGAAAGTGAAAGAGTTTTTGTTAAGAGTGAAACAAGCTCTTTGCCGTGGGCCCTGTGTGTTATTCTCGTTCTCGTTTTTATGAAAACGGTGTAAGGGATGCTGTGTTCCTCCTTGTGCGGGTTTTGAGGGCTTCATTGAGACTTGTGTGCAGGTTGTATCAGCTGTTCTGCTGGATACAGAGTGGTTGCGTTGCTGTTTGTGTTGCAGGGAGAGAGAGAGCAGCTCGGCTATCATGGCTCCTCTGATGCGAGAAGGCGGGTAAAGAAATCGCTAATCAAAACAACACAATGTCCTTCTCAAAACACGATACAAATGGTGGATTTACAATCGTAAAAGCTCAGTCTCTGGTGTTGTGCAGTTGTGAGCGGAACTGGCGGGCTAGCTGTCTCGCGCGGGAGCTGTTTTGTGAACTCGGTCAGTCAGAGCTGGCTTGTGTCGATGCAGTGTTTCTAATACGCCACCCATTTACTTTTCCTACATCATTTTTATGCCTGTGAAAGTCTGTTTTTCACCAAACAGCATTATTAATGTTGGTTTAACTGACGTGTGCGAGCCTAGTTTGACGAAGCCTGCTGTTTGTGTGCTTGGCCCTCATTATGCTTGTGTACAACCTCGAGATATTTCTGTTTTATCATCAGATATAAACTTAAAAAAATATGTACACCAGTCATACATTGTATTTACTGCAGAATGTGTAAATTAAGGTCTCATTAAGATTAAAGGGCTTTATACAAGTTAAAACTTTTTGTCCCCCCTCCCCCCTAAAATAATAGGCTATATACAGTTGTGTATCTTCACATGCAGTCATGTTTTGCCAGTTTGAAGTGTGGTATTGTAAAGATAACATGTTTATAATTTCTGTGTGTACATTGTTTTTATTTTTTTCGTTGGTAATTATTTTTATAGGATGAAGATGTAATTAGATATGTTTTGTTGTAAACTTTTCTTTTGTATTTTAAGTAGACCTATTAACTTTAAAATGTGTTAAAATAGGTTGCGTGTGACTGGCTGAAACAAAAACAAAAAACTGATCACACTTTTGTGTCCCCTGGGCACCTCATAATTTAGTTAGATACACAAGTTTTAAATAGAAAAAGATTTGAAAACATTTGATGCTGTAAGTTTTTTTTTCCCAGATGCATAAATAATTATTTTCCAAAAAAGTTTCTCACCATTTACTCATTCTCAGATTTTCTATCATTTGTTAAACACAAAAGAATATATTTAGAAGAATGTTGGAAACCTGTAGCCATTTACTTATCCTATGAGGATTCAACATGATTTGAAAGATCTTTCTTTTGTATTCAACATTAGAATAGATTATGAGTATTTGAAAGATGTGAAGTGTAACTGTTTATATACATTTATGTATTTGGAAAGCGATTTTACCTAAATGAACTTATTACATTTAGATTCCCTGGGATTTCAACCTCCATTCCTGAAATTACTAGCTTCATTCTCTAGTGTTTGATCAATATTTATATTTTCCATCATTTTTATTCTTTTGCACTAAAGACGCTTCCAAATTTAAGTTATGCTGGTGATGTGTTTATCTGTTGGCCAAGTGTTGAACCCCCAAAATTAGTTTAGTAACCCAAAGTAATGAAAATGCCACAACCAGATTTCTGATGTATGTTTTTCTACGGTATATAGTGATGTAGTGAGATATGCAGGAGGTGCACAAGCACCACAAAATTGCAAGGATCAATTCTAGAAATACCAGCCACTTTATTAGGTACACCTGTCCAACTGCCCGTTAACGCAAATTTCTAATCAGCCAATCACATGGCAGCAACATGTATTTAGGCATGTAGACATGATGAAGACGATCTGCTGCAGTTCAAACCGAGCATCAGAATGGGGAAGAAAGATTATTTAAGTGACTTTGAACGTGGCATGTTTGTTGGTGCCAGATGGGCTTGTCTGAGTATTTCAGAAACTGCTGATCTACTGGGATTTTCATGCACAACCATCTCTAGGGTTAACAGAGAATGGTCTGAAAAAGGGAAAATATCCAGTGAGCGGCAGTTCTGTCAGTGCAAATGCCTTGTTGATGTCAGAGGAGAATGGCCAGACTGGTTCGAGCTGATGGAAAGGCAGCAGTAACTCAAATAACCGCATCTCTGAACACGCAACACGTCTAACTTTGAGGCGGATGGGCTACAGCAGCAGAAGACCACACCGGGTGCCACTCCCGTCAGCTAAGATCAGGAAACTGAGGCTACAAATATTTTCTTGGCACACTTTGGGCCCATTAGTACCAATTGAGTATCGTGTCAATGCCACAGCCTACCTGAGTATTGTTGCTAACCGTGCCCATCTCTTTATGACCAGAGTGTACCCATCTTCTGATGGCTACTTCCAGCAGGGTAACACATCATAAAGCACAAATCATCTCAGACTGGTTTCTTGAACATAACAATGAGTTCACTGTACTCAAATGGCCTCCACAGTCACCAGATCTCAATCCAATAGAGCACCTTTGGGATGTATTGGAACAGGAGATTCGTATCATGGATTTGCAGCTGACAAATCTGCAGCAACTGTGTAATGCTGTGTCATGTCAAGATGGACCAAAATCTCTGAGGAATATTTCCAGTACCTTGTTGAATCTATGCCATGAAGAAGTAAGGCAGTTCTGAAGGCAAAAGGGGGTCCAACCTAGTGCTAGCAAGGTGTACCTAATAAAAAGGCTTGGTCTAACATTTTCATAAGTTGATGATAAAATTATGTTCTTTCTTCCTCCATGTGCACCTCAGTTCAGTTGCAATGTTGTTTTTTTGTCTTTGAAACAGAGAAGAGGTGGAGTGTATGAAAACTGGTCATGTCAGGACAGAGAAAAGGAGCTTCAGCACGTCTTCGGAAATGTGCCTTCTGTAGAACCAACAGAGATAAGGAGTGTGGTCAGTTACTGGTGGCAGAGAGCCACAGGGTGGCAGCCCACCACAAGTGCATGGTATGTTAGCTGTACAACAACTTCAACCAATTTAAAACAACCTACAAATCGATGCAACATTAAAAAAAGCCCGAGATGAGAAAACAGTATGTTATTTTTAGCTTGTAGTTGTATAATGTCTGTTGCATAATTGGTTTTTAGAAAAATAGAGTAGATGCTTAGTAAATAAATAATTGAACACTAGTAAAATAATTAGATGCAAATGACTAGTATTTAATTGAATAATTAAATACTAGTAATTATGGTATAAATAAATACTATAATCAAATACTAGTGTGATATCATAGTAAATAACACTATACAAGTTTATTCGGTAAGTAAATTAGCTAGTGTATCTTTATTGCGTGTGTTTTTTTAAAGTTTACTAAACAGTACAATATTTAAATTTGTCAACATCTTAGAAGCTTTTTAAAATGTATTATTCACAACAAATCAACAAAAAAGCCTTTCAATTTGTCGACTTTTAACAAACTGGTCTCAGGCAGTGGAAAAAAGAAATAGTACATTGTGTGTGATGTGATTAAAATGCAGTTTTGTCAATCTGATCACAAGTGGAAAATGCTGAAATATGGTTTTGAATAGGGGGAGCTCTCTATGAAATCAGGAAAACGGACAAAAGTGACTAGGTTTAAACAGAAGTGTATCTTCCTATCTATTTGTGATCTAATTTACCAGAGCAAATCTTAAATCCAGGTGCAAACTGGGCCAATAATGTTAATTGCATATACAAAGACATGAAACGTGCGATAACATTTATTGTATCTAACAAATGCCTTGTGTGTGGTTTGTTTTTGTTTTCAACTCAGCTATTCTCATCAGCCTTGGTCACATCTCATTCAGACAGTGAAAACATCGGAGGCTTTTCTATTGAAGATGTGAAGAAGGAGATAAAAAGAGGAAATAAACTAGTATGCATTCAGTCCAACACCTTTCAAAAAACGTAGTCCTTTATTTAGGCTAAAAATAGAGAATGACCTATAGCCTTTTTTTTCTGTTCAGATGTGCACTTCCTGTCACCGGCCTGGGGCGACCATCGGCTGTGATGTAAAAACATGTAGAAGGACGTACCATTACTATTGTGCTCTATGGGATAAAGCCCAGACCAAGGAGAATCCCTCTCAAGGCATCTATCTGTAAGCATCATGAAGACACCGCATGGTTAAAGGAATAGTTTACCTGACAATGACAATTCTGACATCATTTACTCACCCTTCACTTGTTTCAAACCCGTTTCTTCTGTTGAACACAAAAGAAGATATTTTGAAGAATGTTGAAAAGCAGTAGCCTTTGACTTCCATCTATATTTTTGTTTTACTATGCAAGTCAATGGTTACAGGTTTTTAACTTTCTTTCTAATATCTTTTTTGTGTTTAACAGAAGAAAGCAACTCCAAATAGGTTTGGAACCAGGTAAAAGGTGAGTAAACGGTGCAGTTTTCATTTTTGGGTCGATTTTCCCTTTAAAAATGCATTTATTGTTATTAACTCTATTTCTTTCCGTTTTCTTCAAATTAGTGTTTACTGTCGCAAACACAGAGATGCCTCTCAAGATGGCAGTGATGGTAACTAACTCTGTTTCATTCATTGTTTTAAATAAACCTGTTTGTAAACCTGCCTTTATTAGATATTTGTTCTTATTCGCAGATGAACAGGGAGTTGCAGCCAATGATTCGGATTCATCTCCACCGAGGAGCAGAGGAAGGGGGCGTTTCGAGAAAAGCAGAATCAGAGGTGTATCTCGCGGACAGTCAGATGACACCCGATCCACGTCGTCGCAAGGCAATGACGATACAGAAAGCTCCTCGCATGTAGGAGACTTGACTTTTTCCTCTTCTAACCCATATTCGATGTAAGCTTCAGAATATTGGTTATGCTAATGGTCCTGTGTTTGTGTGTGTATGACACAGCGAGACCGGTCTCCTCTGAGAGGCAGCCCTGGTGATTCGGGTCTTCGATGTGGTTTTTGTCATGCCGGTGAAGAAGAGAATGAAACGCGTGGTGTGCTACACTCCGACAATGCCAAGAAAGTTGCTGCCCACTACAAATGCATGGTGAGGCTCTTTGAAGTAGATTATGACGAGAACAAATTTCTCATCAGTTCTGATGAGCCATATAGGCCTGCCATGATATCTATTCTTTGCTGTACGATATTTTGCCCCAAAATATATTGCGATAAACAATATTATTGTAATTTTAGGACAATTTTTTTGTCATTCATTATATAATGCCAGAATGACAATATAGTAGCATAATGTACAAGTACACTATTTCAAAGAACACATATTTTATTCCATGTAATATTTCATTTAATTATAGTCATTTTAACAATTTAATAATTAGGCATTTGAATCAGAATGTGAAACCGCATTTCCTCAACAAATAAATAATAATAATGAAAAATATTAACAAAAAAATGCCAGGTAAAAAGTAACAGAGGCTGTGATTGCAGATCTATTTTCAGTTGTCAGGCACCCACATGAAAATACTATGGTAATGTATAGTGAATACTATAGTGTTTTTTTTTTTAACCATACTGACAGACCTTTGATAGAGATAGGGAGGTTGTACATTCAGCTAAAATGTTGCTTGAATTGGGCTTTTATGTATGGGAGATATATATGGCATCACCAAAAATTATTGAAGTCATGTCCATATATTGTGGGAAGTCAATATATTGATTATTGTCACAAGCCTAAAGCCATATTAAAACGTCAGATTTGAAAAGCAAGAAACGTAACTACCGCAAAACATAGTAACATCGTCATCACGTTGCGTGATTAAAATGTTATTATAAATTTAGCATCAAAAATAGAAACTCTTAAATGCGTTTGCAGCAAGGTAAGCTGTAAAATGACTGTCCATACTCTTTCATCTGTAATGTTCCACCGTGTGTTTTTTTTTTCTTTTTTTCCCCTCTATAAACAATACGGATAAAGCTGCTGTCACACTGCACTTTTCACCCCATACACTTCTATTCATATGCATACGAATTTTGCAGACCCAAACCCGAAGATCGAGATGTGACCTCTCAGTACAGAAATTTAAAGTATTGATAATAATCTTGTTTTATCCAGTGACTTTTCATAGTGCTATATGACTAATGTGACCGCGGCTTAGACCATTAGTAAATCTGCCCCCTTAGTAGGGCTGGGAAATTGTGTTGATTTATAACTGATAATGATTTATCAATAAACAAAACAGATAATTATGATGATTCTCAAGCTAAAACTCTAAATATCTGCTGGAAATATCACTTTACAGTAGTGAATAATAAATAATTTATACACATAATATATAGCATAGCTTATGCTCACTATTCACTTGATGTTAAGAGGTTTTTATCAGTCCAGTCACAACTGTTGGATTTCTTTCATAATGTAAAGACTAATGTTGTTGAATACGTTCAAACAACCAACCACAAAAGACCACCTACTTTCCACTTTATAATAAAAAATAATAAGGATGTCAATTGAATAGGCTAAATTGACCATAGTGTATGTGTGGGAATGCAAGTGTAGTGGTGTTTCCCAGTGTTAGGTTGCGGCTGGAAGGCCATCTGCTGCATAAAACATGCTGCAACCCTGATGAATAATGAGGATGTCTTGAAGATTTTTTTTATTATAGTGTAGCAGTGACCGTATAGACAGTGCTTTGGATTCAGAGTGAATTCAAACATCCTCAATTCAAACATTATATGCTGTATTACATTTATGTTCCTGCTCAACATATATGCACTTTAAATGTAAATTGCAGATAACAATGACTGTCTTCAGTTCCCACATCTTTATCACGAGATTAAACAGAAACCCCAGCAGATATTTTCATGTGACCCATTTGGTCAGCAGGTGGTTCTTAATAATCTACTTTCGCTTAACAGTACGAGTTGATTTATCATTTTACACACTATTTTCCTATGATGATTACACTCTTTGTAAGGAAAGGAGCATGGTTTAATACACAATTTAAAGTTGAAGCTGGGTCAAGGCACACTATAATTGTACAATTTACAGATCTAACATGTGCTTGTTAGGGGACGTGTTGTGAGATAATAACTTGTGCACTCACAATGTTCAGCATTGATCAAGGAAGCGATTGTCATCCACATACATTACATTAGTTTGCACTGCCACTTGCTCAAAAGTTGTGTATTAAGGGTCTGTTCATACAGTAGTTCTTGTGTGCAAAAGTTATGTAGAGCTTGACAAAATGGATCTCTGAAATTTAAAACAAGTAGACACAAAAGGTCAAGTCATTCACATATGGTCTATTTACTTATTTTTCATGTTAGAAAAATGTTGATTCAAACTGTTCTGTTAAAACGACATCTTTAATCTACTCTGTTTCTCTCACAGCTTTTTTCTTCGGGTACTGTCCAGCTAACTACCAGCTCTCGTGCCGAATTCGGGAACTTTGACATTAAAACAGTCATCCAGGAAATCAAGAGAGGAAAAAGAATGGTGAACTTTTCACAGTCCTAATACCGTCTAGAATTACAAACTGTATTGCTGATGTAGAAAAGTTTGTAACCTTTTTTTGTTCGTCTCAGAAATGCACGCTCTGTGCCCAACTCGGAGCCACCATTGGATGTGAAATAAAAGCTTGCGTGAAGACCTACCATTATCACTGTGGCCTGCAAGACAAGGCCAAATACATAGAGAACATGGCGAGAGGAATTTACAAGTATGTTCTATCTGTCTGTCTTTCTGTCTGTCAATCCCTTCATCTATTTGTCCGTCTGTCTGTGTCTGTCTATCTATCTATACAGTTTAACTTCAGTTTCAGTTTCCTTTATTTATGTCATTCAACACATCACAATAGAATTGTAATGCAGAACGAAATTACGTTGCAACAGACCCAACAAGAACATAAAAAACATCACTATACAAACACTATAAAATTCTAACATGATAAATAAGCTTTTATAATTCCATAAAAATATAATAATATAAGATATAACCTATTTTTAACAATCTCTGAAGAGAATAACTTAATACTTAAATACCTGTTTCACCATTTGTTGTAATATTAACAATTTATGCTAGTTTAACAAATTTATTGATTTATTTTTAACACTAGCTATCAATAATGCTTTAGAAATGGTATTATTCAAAAGTCTTATAATGACAGGATAAAAACTATCTCGAAACCGCACTGATTTGCTCCTCAGGCTTCTGTAACGCCTACCTGATGGCATGAGTGAGCAGGCTATGACCAGGGTGGGTTGGATCCCCTAAAAAACTTCTTTATTTGTCTGTACATAATATTGTCAAAGTCTCAAAAATATCTCAAAGTTATTGAAATATGTATATAGATATTTCAGTATAATATGAACAACATTTTAAAAATAATTTTTATTATTAATTTATTAATAATAAAAAATATTAAATTTATAAAATTAATATGGTATTTTTTTAGAAACGTTTAACATGTGTTAACAAAAACAAAACATACAAAATTATAAAATAATTTATAATAAAAACAATTACAAGTATATAAATGTGTAGATGCACGTACATACACATAGAATATAAAGGTATCAAAACAATTGTGAATTAATAGCCGGTGGTACAAGAAATTACATGCACAAGATTTATATCATCCATCTGTCTATATATTCATCTGTCCATCTTGCAGTTTATCCGTCGAGTCATCCATTCGTCTGTTCGTCCATCTATTAGTTTAGCCATTCATTCATGATTTTGGATAAAATGCTTGAAAATGTAATTGTTGATGTATTAAATGGGTGCTTAAACTGTGGGAGAAGGCAAAATGCATGGAGTTTTACCACTTTGAGCGAACAGTACATGAAATTAGAATATATATCAATTTAAAATGAAAGATGACACATTTTAGACGTGAGCAAATGTCATTTAAGGGGTAAATGACAATAATTCAATGTTGGCCTGGGAGGGGGGTGTTCTTATAGTGTAGCATTCTAACAAATAGTATCTGATCTAATGTGATGATGTATGTAAATATGTCATTTGATACTTGGAGAAAATGTGAAAATGTACCTAGAAATTGCTTAAAAAGTGCTTAAATTTGACTTTGTAACAAGGGTCATAAATTCAAGGACCTTACACCTTTTCCCAAAGGTTTTGACATTTTGTATATTAAAATTATCAAGAACATCTAAAGTTGCTTCCGGTTCAGTACAGCACACTGTTTTCCACTGCATTTCTGGTGTTTTTTGTGGGCCGTACCGTTAACCAAACTTGACACATACACACTGCTGATCCCTAATTGGCCCAAGAGAATGGTTACTACCAGCATATTTGGTTTGCAACACACAAAACCAAATTCTCTATTTTAATGTCCGTAGTCACTGCTGTATTGTGGGGTTCATAACTAAACTGTTTTTATACCACCGTAAGAAAAAGAAACCTGAGATGCCAGCATCCAGGAATTAAAACAATATCATGGCAGAGAAGGTTGTAGCAACTACTGTATAACGATAATCCTGTCCACTTTAAGTGATTAATAAACTGCAGTGAAAATGCAAACTGTTTGAACTGTACTGTACCACACAGTGGAAAGCAGATTAAGACTCTTGCTGTAGTTTTTCAGTATAACATAAAGATTTGTTTCTTTTCAACAGGCTGTATTGTAAGAATCACAGTGGAAATGAGGAAAGGGATGAGGAAGATGAGGAGAGGGAAAGTCGTAGTAGAGAGAAAGCTGCTATTGACAACAGAGCAGATCCTCCATCGCAGGTCAACGGCAACTAGGAGGTTTGTATGTGTCTTTGGAAGGGAATTTCAGATTGATATAGATACTATTCATTGCTTCATTTTGATATTGCTTCAGACTGAATAAATTCCTAAATTTTCTGCCTTTTTTATGCAGATGCAACTCCATTTCGTTCAAGCCCTGTTCCTTTTGTAGATATAGGAAAACTTGGCTGTAGGTGCACTGAGAGTAGAATTAAATTAATCGATGTGTGTTAGTGGATGCTGCTCAATAATAGTTGGAGAGACGATAAACTTTCTCAAGAGCACTTTTTGATAGAGACAAAAATAATTCCGCTAAAAGTATAACTGTAAAATAATACCTGTACAGTGGGGCTCAAATCGGCGATTCTGGTATGAAATACAGGCACTCTAACAAGGACTCTAAAGACTGACCAATCAAGTCTATTGTAGATATTATCCATCAAGCAGGTAATGTTACTATTGCCAACACAGCGAACTTGTTAAAATACTGTTCAAATTAAACAGAAAATAATCACCTCATTGAAGGCCCAATGTTTTTAAATTTTAATCGCATTTGCTCCATTTGTGTTTTATTACAAGCACAATTATTTAAAGTATAAAAACATTTTATTTACAATACACAGTGTGGTTAATCATATTTTTATGGCACAGCTTTTTACACCTATAGCGCTGCTGTTAGGAAATTAATATATATGGGGCTGCGCTTGGCTTTGGTAGAACTGATAATGATATTTTGTTGTGTTTGAGATGCAGTGCTGTACCAAAAGCTGAAAGACTGACTTATTTGAGAGTTTTCCTTGACTACTACTCGGCACCTTTTTATGGAGTGTTGTCATTCTCTACAACACTGTTTACAACAACTGGAACACTATGTAACAGTAATCAAGCTAGAAGGCTTTACCTTCCACAATTAATAACTATAACCATAGTTTTATTATAGCAATACTAACATGAACCATTGGCAGAAATATGGACTATTTATTATATTTAAGGATAATATAATTACTATATTTTGTGCATTTCAATTTGTACTAAATATCTGTGTTTTTTTTATCTAACTTTTTTCTTGTAACAAATGAAATAGAAATCATAACAGGGTCTCCGCTGGGTTTTAAAAAGTCTTAAAATATCCTAAATTAAAAAAAAAAAAAAAAACATTAGGCCCTAAAAAGTCTTACATTTACAGAAATATTGTCTTGTAGGTCTTAAATAATTTTAGTCTTCATTTTCCTCTGTCCAGGTAAAGCTACCCTACCAGACCGACATGCATCCAATCACTAACAATCCATCTCAAGAAAAGCTATTTTTAATAATTAAGTTTTGTTTATTGCCAAGAAATACAATTTACAATTGTTGTTTGACATTTTTACAGCAATTTCTCCAAATTAAATTCCCTAATCAGGGAAAGAAAACTAAAAACAATTACACAACTCCTCATGATAATAATGTAGCAACATATATAATAAATATACTTTTAACAATGTTAAACTTGTAATGTAAAAAAAATATTATGTTGAAAAAAAGTGTATACAGCAAGAGTTTTCTTGCTTTTACACATTAAAATGTTACTAAGAAATAATTACATTTGATTTGTATTTTTGTGGCAACCGACCAGGCCATTAGAAATATCGGTGTTTAGCCCTGTATAAGTCTAAAATGTAATTTATAATGGTCTTAAATTTGACTTAAACCTGCAGAAACCCTGTATAAAGTTACAGCATAAAGTAGTTGTGGCAAAATGGTTAAAGCACACGTGTCAAACCCTGAAGCACTGCACAGTTTAGTTCCAATCCTAATTAAACACAATTGATTAAACCAATTGAGTCCTTCAGGCTTGTTTGAAACCTACAGGTAAAGCTGCGGTCACACTAGAGTTTGTGTGTGCGAAATTCTGTCAGGGGCGGGAATAAACAAATTTATTAGGCATTTAAAAAGTGAGCGATTGCTCCATGTTTTAAATTTCTGTCCAGAGATGTCACGTTTTACTCCTCGGTTGGTCTCACGCAGTCAAGTGATGCGATTTTCGCAGGTTAGAGTTCACCAAGCTTGAACTTTGCACTGCAACAACCTGCGAAAATTATGCATAACCCTGCGTTTCCGGTCTGACGCATTTGTGTGCGTATGAATGGAAGTCTATGGGAGGAAAAGCCCAGTGTGACTGCAGCTTCAGTGTGTTGAAACAGGGTTGGAACTAAATTATTCAAGGCTGTGGCCCCACCCAGGAACTGAGTCACGCTCCTTTTGAGATCAAAAGGTTGCAGGTTTGATTCCCGGTCCCGGCAGGAATCCTTCAATACCCAGCTGTGGTGCTCCTGAGTAAAGCCGCGGTTATACTACACGTTTCACCCCATAGAATTCCATTCATACTTGCACGGTTTACCGGTATTATGGTAGCATCATAACATTATGGCTTCAAAATACTGGCATGCCACTGTAGTTTGTAAACGGTAATATCATCACTAACAGTCTATCTACAATAGATAATGTTGAATGTGGAAAAGTCACTAAAATGCTCACACGTTTGTGCAACAATAGACCATTTCATTCTAATAGTGTCTGGAGTCCTTTAAGGTCGCACATTTTCTGATGTTTTCTGACGTTTGAAACGCACACCTGAATCGGTTAATTACAACAATCTCTTAAAAATAACAACTCGGAAAGTTAAATTTTGAATTACTTTGGATTGTTACCTGATAAGACTAAAAAAATCAATAGAAGAAAAACCCAAAATAGCATCAGGAAACAATGAAACAATTTACCACTTCATATAGCCTAATTTTGTTGGAAAAATGCTCTTTTAGTAATAAATTTTATTTGGTATAGTTTGCATCTTTATTTTAATGTATTTTTGTTGGTCAGTTATCTACAAAATAAACAAAAATAATAAATTTTAGTGACGTGGAAACAATACTTTTTTCAGTAATACGGGATTTATACATTAAATTTAAGTACGTCTATTAAAACATGTAAACTATAGTATTTCTGACTATTTTCTTTATTATTTGAGTTGTGAATTACAGTATTGCAATACTATTTAATATTGTGATACTTCAGGTGGTAAAGTATCGTAACATGAATTGATGGTATCGCGACAACCCTAATTTATATTCATGCGAATGCGGCAGATCGAAAACGCAAGCTCATGTGACAAGTTTCAAAGTTCACTGCGTTGAAAAGTTGAAGCTTGGTAAACGTGATTTCATCAGACCATTCCAAGATCTGTAAAGAAATGTAAAATATGCACCAATCCCTCGCATTTTTAAATGTCAAATTATTTTTTTAATCCCGCCCCTTTACGCAGTGACAGAATTTTGCATACTCAAACTCTAGTGTGACCGTGGCATAAGGCACCTAACCCTTAATTGCTCCCCAGCTGCTGGAGATGGGTTAAATGCAGAGGACCAATTTCGTATACGAGTAAAACCATACTTGATAAGGCTCACTTCAATCATTTTGTCATAAGGTGTGGTAATCTGATGATGCACAAAAATTGAGGCTGTTACAGTTTTTACCTATGGGTGTTTTTCTCTTGCATTTTTAAGAGACAAAACTTGTAATATTATTCATGTACAGCTCAACCAAACATCAGTCTGTAGCCCTGTGTGTTATAGAGTAATTCATTTACTGTAGATGCTCTGGTTACAGTGTGATTTCCTCAGTCTTCGGTGTCAGAATTTGTATTGGTTAATTATTCAGGAGCAGATCAATGTGATATTTTGATATGGTAGTTGTACAGTGTGATCAGTGGATTGAAATACTGTCTCCTTTCAGATGGTGCATGAAGACGGGAGACATGACGGGGATAAAAGAAATATTTTTGTATAATCCTCAACTAGAAACTAGAAAGGGGCCAGCTCACGATATCTTCAGTTTTCCTCTCTTTGACAGTATTTCATGGACATTGTGAGTGAGAATGTAAGTTCAATATCAGATGATATCGATATGTTACTGCAGTGTAAACCCTAACTTAGCTGGATAGATTTTATTTAAGCATATGGTATATTAATACTTCAAACCATATGAATGGACGGCTGGAACAGTGTCATCTGTTTGTGCTCAACCCTCCACTTTCCTCTATGGCTGGACCCACACTGAGAAAGACTGATCCTGGACTGTTTATAGCGCATCTCTTTCAAACCATCATGTTTAATAAGCCTTTTAAAGTACTCTTTCATGAAAGCTCTCTGTTTTTTCCTCTTTCTCTTTCAACATGTATTATATTTTATTACTGTATTATACTCATGAGTAATATTGGATATCAGTGGTTTTCTTTATAGTACTGGACAGGATTAAAGAACATTGGCTAGCATGCACTTTTCTTTACTCAGTCTCACGTGGTGGTTTTTCTGTTCTGCATTTATCTAATTAGTATCCATTATTTCAAGTTGTCCATTTGATGAGGTAATGCAAAATAAGAGTCCTTCTGGAAAAGCAGACACTCTTAAGGGATTTTGTCAGAAATGACAATTGCAGACGTAATAAGATTTTTTTTTTCTGATGCTGGCAATTTGAGAGCTGAAAAACAAACAAGCAAAACAAAATTTATACCCTTGTTTCCTGACGCTACATGGAGGTCTTAGCAAGGAAAACAACTGGTCTGTTCAAGAAATGAAAAGTATAAAAGCCAGTATCTCTAGGCTTGATATTTAGCTGAAACTGTGATTTATTAAATTCATTTTTAATGTTGTACTGAAGAAAATATCTTGTAGAATGGTCTGAGGTCTGGTCTTTTTGGGGTTCTTTAATATTATTATTATTATTATTATTTATTTTTATTTTTTTTACCCTTTTTGTACCATTTGAAATTGAGACTTTCAATCATCACAATTCATAGCAACCATATGATTGCTGCATTTACCCTGGGGTAAAAAAAAGGAAAACAAAACAGTTTAATACAAATGGACACCAAAATCATCAAGACCATTTTTTGAGTGTGGGCAACTATTCTTGACACACTCTTCACTTCAAGCTGGAATTGCACTGTCTGCTGATTAGCTTTTAGAAACAAAAATCTTTTTCAAATTGTAAATCCTAAAAATAAAGCTAATATACTTTAAACTTTTAATAAAACAGTTAAACTTGTGTAATGTTTACTTTGAAGTACCATATATAGTTTTTGTTTATTTGAATGCAGCACATTAACTTATTGCTCCATAATTGGCAAATTATTCTATTTTTACTGTATTTAAAAAGTCCACTTATACTGAACATTTTCTTGAGTTTGTTCTATTGATCATTTTTGCTGTTACTGCTCAGGGGAATAGATCATAGCTCCAATTAATCAGCTTAGGAGTGTAATAAAATGAACTTTAACAAAGTGCTATAATAATAATTAAAAGCAAACTTCCTTGCTGGTTAGGAATAGGGTTTGGCATTATTTCACATAATTATGTACAAATTACTGTTATTATAATACATGTAATGTGTCAAGAGCACTGCAAATTATAGTGTATATGTACGTATGTGTGTGTATTATATATATATATATATATATATATATATATATACACACACAAACTCTCACTGGCCACTTTATTAGGTACATCTCCCAAAGGTGCTCTATTGGATTGAGTTTGGTGACTGTGGAGGCCATTTGAGTACAGCAAACTCATGGTCATGTTCAAGAAACCAGTCTGAGATGATTTGAGCTTTATAACATGATGTGTTATCCTGCTGGAAGTAGCCATCAGAAGATGGGGACATTGTGGTCATAAAGGGATGGACATGGTCAACAACAATACTCAGCTAGGCTGAAACGTTGACACAATGCTCCAATAAGCACAAGGTGTGCCAAGAAAATATCCCCCACACCATTACACCACCACCAGCAGCCTGAACTGTGGATACAAGGTAGGATGGATACATGCTTTTATATTGTTGACGACAAATTCTGACCCCACCATTTGATTGGCTCTGCAGAAATCAAGACTCATCAGACCAGGCAACATTGTTCCAATTTTCTATTGTCCAATTTTGGTGAGCCTTTGTGAATTGTTTTCCTGATCTTAGCTGACAGGAGTGGCACCCGGTATGGTCTTATGCTACTGTAGCCCATCCACCTCAAGATTGGATGTGTTGTGCACTCAGAGATGCTGTTCTGCTTACTTCAGTTGCACATATATAATATACAATAACGTTTTAGTATCTTGTAAAACATCATCTATTTGATCTTTCTTTGGATATAGACTATCCTGTGTTGTGGGTTTTATTGTGTTCACTTAAGCAGCTTACTTAGCCTACAGTATGATAATGACATTTTAGCTTACTATCTCATAACATTTTGTCTTGTAACAATTTTGTCAAGAATCTGCTTTCGTGCTGTTTTTATTATTTTACTACTGGGTGTGTTTTTAGCTTGTGCCGCTCCGATATTGTTATTTTTATTTAAATATTTGTTGTTGTTATAGTAGTAATTAGCTGTGCCTACCGCTTTAAGTCAGACGGCGGTTCGTGAGCGCTCCCGCTGATTGGTCGACAGACTGTGGTCCTCCTATAAGCTAAACCGCCCACAGTGTAACGTGAGGAACAGACAAATTGTGCACGTTCAGTCCTTTAAAGGTGAAATTGAGAATTGTCAGAAGTACAACTGCGTCCGGCATTTCACCGAGAGTTGAGGACCGTTTTGCAGTAGCTTGTCGGTGTGGACGGACATGGCGTCATCGAGCCCGTGTGTCGTGGTGAGTGTTTTACTGTACACACTCGTGCCTTTTACACAGCCCTCGATTAGTCACTGTACACAAGCTTCTATTATGCCGAAGTGGGTTTTGGACGGTACAACTATTTGTGGTGGTGTCCTTTTTAGGCCTAGACGTCATCCCTCATACACGTGTGAGTTTGTAGAGATTTCTAATTAGCATTATTTGAGTGAAGTATAACGTTAGGGGCCTCTGGGGGAAGCACGCGTTTCACGCATGGCACATGTGATGCACACCATTCATTTGTGCACGTACGAGCAGTGGAAAACCAGCCACAGAACTCTGCACTTGTTTGGTTGTGTATTTTTATTATTTATTAATTCAATGATGTAAAGGTACACTAATGAGAGGATAAAAGAAGGCCAGTTTGATGGGAGCAGAATGCCATAGTGTGGTGTTGGAAACAGCACACAGCTTTGTTCAGCGAGAAGGCTCAGGGGAGCCTGTCATCATTTTCCTCCTCCCTAAATTAAGATATTGTCTTGAGGATATAATTTTAGACTCCCATCATTGCAATATGTGATTGTGTTTAATTTAAGAGTGTGCTAGACTCTTAAAGGGACCACTCACAAAAAAGTCCTATGTAAAATACAGTAATGACAAGAATGTCCTGGTCTGACTAATAAATGAAGCTGTCAAACACCAAAATAGACACAGCATCATCCAAAAATGCCAGAGACTTGTATTTCAGGTCTCCAGGAGTCAATAAAACAGCAGTCATGTGTGAAACACTCAAGTTATTATTCACTGAAAATGTGTACCTGGGATTTATCAAACACTGCAGCTAAATTTGGTTTTAATTTTGCCATTTAGCGCTTGGTTTTGTTCACACACATTTTGGAAAAATACTAGAGTCACAACCACGTTCTGCAACCGAATGAACCAATTTGTCTAATGTTAACGGCAGCAACATTTGCAGACATTTTGTGCTGAACTATACAGCTGCTATTTAAACCCGTATCATGGACACAAGAAATAAAGCCAAATACTTTATCTTTGAAATAAATTAGCTGCGTATCAAAATATCACAATCTGCACCTTTCTACTTGTGTAACTCCATAACCTAAGTCACTTAAGCCCATATATGCTTGTAATAAGTGTATTTGGTAACATTTCAGCAGTGTTATTTCAGTCGACAGTGTACCAAACCACATGCACAAGATGTCAAAAAAGTTGCTATTGTTATCTATGTTAGAAATTCTAGTCAGTTTCAGCATTATCATTTTCCACACAAACACACACAGGTTTTGTGGATTTAAACATGGTTATCGCTCCTGAAATTGACATTGTGTATGTGACCATTGAGTCAGTGACCTGAGCATGAGAACATTCAACAAATCGTTCATTTATGCGTCATCATTGTCAGCTTAAGATCAAAGAAACACTTGACACCACTGGGCTTACAATGCTTTTCAGAAACCGGTCAGTAAACTGGATTAATGATTACTTAAAATGATCCTAACAATAATAAAACACAACACAGAGGCAAGATTGGTGAATTTCTGAAAAATACTGACTTGTATGAGAGTTTGTTCATCTCAAAATAACTATTGTATGACTGTAGAAGCCCTTGAATTTAGGCTACAGGTCATGTGGACTGCTGTCATGGTGATTTTCTTTTTTTATGCATGTTTGCTTATCCTCTAGCCGTCAGCATATAGAGTTAGGTGAATCTACTTTGTAAATACTGTTACCTGAAGAGCTGAAATTATTTATGCTGCTTTATTTGCCCTAGGCAGTATGCTTCATATTTTGATAGAGCTTAAAGATGACATGTGACTTGCATGTGAGTCTAAAGCTTTTATTTGCGTGAAAAATGGCTCACTAGATCTGACAGCAAGCCGACTTAAGTAATGTACGCTCTAGCAGCAGTATGAGAAACTCGACTTTGGCTTGGAGCCATCGGACACAAGCCCAACAATCTGAGTCTTATCATAGCCACGTCTGTTGTTCATGTGCATTTTGTGTTGAATCTCAAGGTACTGGCACCTGCAGGTCCCAGAGGAGCCTCTGCTGACAGTTGCACATTATTTGTCTGAACCTTCTTCAAGGGCAGTGCGATAACACTTATGGGTAGAATAAACAATGAACTAGCTCGTCTACTTCTGCTTTCCTGGATTTTATCTGCTTCCCATGTGAGGAATGATTGGATATGTATTTTTTCACGTTATTTGTGTGCCATCTGTTGTTTTGGCAGATTTTTTGTCAAAGTTGTACTCCGCTCCGCTTGGAGAACTGCATCTTGAAGGAAAATTTTTAATTATTATTAATAACTAATTATTCTATAATTATGATATGGTAAGGTAACTATATTGGGTAATAATCTTCAACCACACACATTTATTTTTGATTTTGAGTGGAAGGAAAAATGATTTAAAGGGCACCTATGATGGAAATCATCTTTTGTAAGCTGTTTGAACAGAACTGTGTGTAGGTATAGTGCAGGGGTCACCAATCTCGTTCCTGGAGATCCGGTTCCCTGCGGGGTTTAGCTCCAGCTTGCCTCAACACACCTGCCTGGGTGTTTCAAGTATACCTAGCAAGACCTTGATTAGCTTGTTGAGGTGTGTTTGATTAGGGTTGGAGCTAAAATCTGCAGTACACCGGCCCTCCAGGAACAAGTTTGGTGACCACTGGTCTACACAGTCAAATTGTGGTGATATAAAGACAATAAGTCTCTTTTTTTCTAATTTCCTGACATTAAAATAGGATCCAAATCCCTCCCATTTTGAGGCCCACCACTACGTGATGTAGGGAGTGCGGTTTCCCCACCCACCTAATTGATTGACAACCGCGTATTCACATGTCTTCGTAGTAAAGCGTATAATCAAATCAACAAGACAGGATGTGCACAAAGCAACTGGGATTAAAAGATCTGTTCAGCTCGCTGTGATTCTCAATCATCATCAAATGTGATCAGAAATGAGTTTTACAAGTAAAATGTTTTAAAACGGTGCATGTTTGTAATGAATTACAGCGAAGTTTTTTTTTTTTTTGTCTTTATCACCACCACATGTCAGTACAATTATAAAAGAAGACGCTTCAATCCCGGTTTGTGGACATTACATCAGGTTTATTTTGTACATTAGCATAATGGATGTCCATACAGCAGTGGATATTAATGTGGATGTATGAGAGAGAAAGAAAATGAATGAATAAATAAATGAATGAATGAGAGAGAGAGATTGATTAGATAATATGTGTGCTTTTTACAGTCACCTTGTTGAGGACATTATTGCCATGAACCTAACAGCAAATGTTAGAGAGGTGCAAATGTCACAAACTGATTTTAGTAATGCATTTTCACAAACAGCTCAAAAAGTCATTTTAATAGTTTTATATAACAAAGCAAATGTATATGTAAATATTTTAATGTTAAATTTAAGCTTTTTAATAATAATTGACAATTCAAAACGATTTAAATATATGTCAAAGTATACAGTTCAGGTCAGAATTATTAAACCTCCTGAATTATTAGCCTCTACTGTATATTTTCCCCTAATTTCAGTTTAACAGAAATTTTGTTTTTTCAACACATTTTTAAGAATAATAGTTTTAATAACTAATCTCTAACAATTTATTTTCTTTTATCTTTGCCATGATGCTTATTCAGCTTAAAATGCAAAAGCCTAACTAGGTTAATTAAGAAAGTTAGGGTAATTAGGCAAATCATTGTATATCAGTGGTTGGTTTGGTCTGTAGACCAACAAATGTATTGCTTAAGGGGGCTAATAACATTGACCTTAAAAATGTGTTAAATAAAAAAACTGCTTTGATTCTTGCTAAAATAAAACAAAAGACTTTCTCCTGAGTAAAAAAAAATGATTAAAATACTGTGAAAAATTCTGTGCTCTATTAAACATCGCTTGGAATAAGAAAAATTCACAGGAGGGCTAATCGTTTGGACTTCAACTGTTTATGTCACCTTACTCTCAGTTTATTGGTGCAGTTTGAATTTTTTATTTATTTTTTAATACCTCTAACCCAGAAGCCCAACACCTTCTTGAGCCCGAAAACTCAAACTTTGCCTGAACTTTTACCTCAAAAACCCAAATTGGTTATTTGCCTGTAAGTTTGCAGTAAAGCTCACCTATCCCCTCCTGCCCTATTTTAGGTCTGTCCTCCTGTCCAATAGATAAATGTTATCAGTCAAGAAGTTCACCCACTGTTCTTTGACCTACAGCATTAGTGACAATTGAATGATGTCATTTGTGTATTTTAGATCAGCGATGAGGAGCAAGGTTATGACCTGGACCTCTTTTGTATACCAAAACACTATGCGGCTGACTTAGAGCGGGTGTATATTCCTCACGGGCTCATCATGGACCGGTATGAGCCAGATGAAAAATAAAAATGCACAACCTGAAGACTGTTGGCGGAACTGATAAATCTGTTTGATTTCCACAGAACTGAACGTCTGGCCAGAGATATCATGAAGGACATGGGTGGACACCATATAGTGGCTCTATGTGTGCTCAAAGGAGGCTACAAGTTTTTTGCTGACTTACTAGATTACATCAAAGCCCTTAATCGCAACAGTGATCGCTCCATTCCCATGACAGTGGACTTCATCCGCCTCAAGAGTTACCAAGTAATCATTCATCTTAATGACTTTTAAAAGTCAAGCAGGTCTGTCTGTGTTTGTTGATGCGTGTTTAATTGGCCTGATGGCATAAATGAAGAATAACCCTTTGCAGTACAAACTTCTTTTGAAGTAGATGTCACTGTAGTAACTGGAACACAAAAATGTCTGTGTGAGTGTCTGAATCTTGTTCTTTGATTATTACAGAATGACCAGTCCACAGGTGACATCAAAGTGATTGGTGGAGATGATCTGTCCACGCTAACAGGAAAGGTGAATAAAAATAGCCTTTACTGTATCTAAAATCACATTATGCCGATCAAAATTTACTTATTTGCTTTTTTGAACACCATAGAACATTCCAATCTTAAACCACTATCTTAATATTACATTTAACAATAGCAGTTAGAGGATTTAAATTAACAGTTGACATTTAAACGCTAACACTCTACAAAAAAAACGAAGGTTGAAAAAATAGATGATAAAATGATACAATATAATACTACTAATGAAATAACATGTATGATAATAAATAAGTACACTTTAAGGGTTTAGATATTTTAAGCCGTCTTAGTCTTTAGATACAATCTATATTACGTTCTCTCAATCAGCGCAAGAAAGAATCCCAGAGTTTTCATATAGCGATCAAAGCTTCCTGAGAGTAAATATCACATTCATCTAAGGCAGTGGCCCCCAAAGTGAGGGTTGGGACCCCCCGAGGAGTCGCAGGACCAAATCAAAATTTTTTTTTAAAACTATTAGAATACCATATTTTTTCTATAACCTACTGAATAACAAAATAGTAGTTAATATTAACATTGTTAACAAAAACATGTAAATAAAAAGCCATCAGGTTTTTTTTTTTTGGACCCCTGGGGCGATTACATTATATTAAAGACACAGCAATAGCGTTTTATGGCACCAGGTTAAATTTTCTGACACCTTTACTGCACTCACATACATTACAAATAAATACAGGCTATGGAGGATGGTCTCCAAGTGACATTCCCCAAAATTAAATGAATCAAAAGACTGGTGCCTATTGTTATGTGTGTGCCATTGTGTCCAAGGTTTAGATATTTATAACCACCTCAGAGAAAATTGAGGGTCATGAGATGCTGGCTTTGTTATTTTGTTGTGGGCTGAAAAGTTTGGGAACCCCTGATCTAAGTGACACTTTTATTGTTACAAAGCATTTCCTTTTTTAAATAAGTGTGGTTCTCATGAACTTGATTCATCAAAAAATCCATCCTGAAAAATGTGTTTCATCAGGCAATACAGTAGCACAGATGTTTCAACATTGACCAAAAGAAAAACAAATCTTGAGGATATTTGAAAGAATTCCGATTAATCAAGTAACACTAAACAGTGGCAGCTTTCTAACCTTGTCAGTCTTCCAAGGAACAGTGCAGTGTTTGAAAATATTACAATAGATGCTGGTGCCGATATCGGCAGTGCATCAACATGTTAGCGCCATCGCGTATCCCAGGTTCAAGTCCCACTTAAACTTTTTTTTTTTTTTTGACAAAATAAATCCAGCCTTGTAAGATTATAAATCAAATATATTTTTATGTCTTATCCCTATGCTTTTGCATGATGTTTAATAAAAAAAATAATGCAAGCATTTAAAATATGAATGTTAATCGTTTCTTCTTCTCTCGGCATGTTCTTTTTGACACCCAAGAACGTCTTGATTGTGGAGGTATTTGTGAATTTATCTTTACACCACTTCTTTAAAACAGCTTGTATTATGCAGCAGATGTTTGTGTAATCTTAACATTTGTTTATTAGGACATCATTGATACTGGGAAAACGATGAAGACGCTGCTAGAACTTCTAAAGCAATATAACCCAAAAATGGTCAAAGTTGCAAGGTACAGTTGAATATAATGAATACACTTTGGATCAACCCAGTGTGTGCTGCTGATTGTTTACCTTGCTTCGGTCTTTTTGTAGACCACTAGTTAACAAATGCCAAAAACGTCCTACTTTTGAACATGTAGGTTCTGTAGTCTCATATACCTCTTCTATTCATAGTTTGCTGGTGAAGAGGACACCGAGGAGCGTTGGATACAGACCAGACTGTGAGTGGATAACTAAACCTGTTTTCCAGCCTTTTGTTGTCATGCATTTTGAATGACTTTGATATAGTTAAGATTCAGTTGACTACTCACAAGTAATGTTTATAAATGAATGCTGCTGCAGATTTTCAGGCTTGCACAAACCGCTGTAAAAGACTAAAGCTCATTGATTTATTTTTCTTCTTTTTAAGGGAATCAAGTCAATTATTTTGAATACTGAAGTTCTACTTATTGATTGATTTTAAGACCATTATAGTGCAATACTGTGCATTGACCACAAGGTTGCACAATGACACTTTTCAACGTTTTAAATAAAATTAATAGATTTCAGTCACGTGACTGGGGCAAGGCCCTGGAGGACAGAACATCGATAGAGCTGAAGCAAAGACCTGTCATGATTATTGGTATCAAGCCATCAATACTTGAATCACCTCTTAAAATAAGATAGCTATTTAGGCAGACAAAACACTAGTTTAGTTTTTTTTTTTTTTTTTTTTTAAAGTTTACTTAGTGCTGTTAATTTATATACTCATTTCTAGAGGATATCATGCTTATGGTTCACTACGGCTGGTCCCACATCAGCTTCACATATTGCGCCAATCAGATGATTCCTAACTCACTATAAATAACCTGAGTTTTTTTACTTCAGTCATCTTTGTTTTGAACAATCCCCCTTCCACCCCTACTCCTCCCCCTTCTTCTCCTGATTGTAGTAGTTAGTAGTTAGTTAGTTAGTAGTTAAGTAGTTAGCACTATTGCCTCACAGCAAGAACACTGCTCGAATTTAGTTTGAGCCCTTACCGGGCCAGATTGTGCAGATTTGCATGTTCTTCCTGTGCTCGTGTGGGATTTCCCCGGGTTTCCCCCCACCGTCTAAATACATAAATTATAAGTAAATTGACTAATCCATCCTAGTCCAATCCTATCTTTTAGCTGTTCTTAACCTACCTGAGCTAAAACTCTCCTCTCGCCCTTCAAATAGGAGAGAGCCCCAGGCTTGAGGATATTTTGAGCTCAGGGCTCTCTCCCGGGACAGCATGCCTAACTAGCTTTATAATCAATTATCAGCTAAATGTGAACTCTTGAAATAAATAATTAATTAATCAGAGTTTTAAATGAATAAACTTTCAGTAGAGAAACACTGTAAAAAGAAATCAGTGGACTTTACCCAGTAAAAAATTGGGAAACTCATTGCCTTAAAATGTGTAAGGAATTAATATGTGCATAATTATAAAATGAATTCAATTTAACAGTTTCCAAGTTACTCACCATCTACCCCCAACCTATCTCTCAGAGCTGTTCCGTTTTTACAGTCCCGTAAGCTCAAATAATTGATCAAAATCTTTCCTCAGTCCAGACTGAAACGTAGAGGGAACAGAGCTTTCTCTGTGGCGAGTTCGGAGTTATGGAACACTTTGCCCCTTGAGATGAGAACGGCTGCATCACTATCCATTTTAAAATCACTCCTAAAACTTGCCTATTTTTAATATTATTTTAATAGTCTTTTCTACTGCTTCATTTTTAAATGTATTCGGTCGTTTCTCTTGGCCTTCGTTACTTTCTCTTATGTACAGCACTTCGTCAGTCTTGACATTTTTTTAAAACAAAGTAACTTTGTCACTTTTAGGGAAACAGGTTTAACTGCAATTTGGTTTAGTAACTAATCACTTCTGACATTGTGTGCATAACCTTTTTTATGTATTTTATCATTTTGATTTTTAAAATTGCTGTAAATTCAGAACTATTTCCATCATCTTGTCTTTCCCTCTTTATTCTCCAGTTGTAGGATTTGAAGTTCCTGACAAATTCGTGGTTGGATATGCACTTGACTACAACGAGTACTTTAGAGATTTAAACGTAAGTGGCAGCATTCACAAAGCCTAAATGCAAAGAGGCCACGAACACATCAAACAACTTCTGCTAACTTCTCTCATTCTGACTTGCAGCACATCTGTGTGATCAGCGAAACAGGAAAGGAGAAGTACAAAGCATGAGAAGCCATGAACTTCCCCCTCTAGCTGTGTATCATTTGTTTTTAATAGACGTCTTACATTTTTACATCCATTTTATATATATATATTTTTTGTTTTGTTTTTCAGTAGTGCAGCTCACCGCAGGTTAGTGGTCCTCCACTCAGGGTCTCTGGTGAGGTGTGTGCTGTTAATGCACCTTACATTTACATTCACTTATACCTCCACAGGCACCCAACAAACATCATACATCAACCACAAACACTTTGCAGAGTTTAGCCTCTGAGAACAGAGGTCTACAAGCTACTGCTCTTGGTGGAAAGAAGCGTTTAAACACCTAGTTGTGATAGGGCCAGAATCCCTTTAATTTATTATAATGATCTGCACGAGATGTTATAGGTAGGTGTTTGTTTTAAAGATTAAAGTGAAAATTGATTTTAGGTCATCTTGCTTGCTATTCAATAGTGCACATAGAATTGGTTTGCTCAAATGGCTAAAGTAGAACATTCACCTTTCCAAAGACTCTTTGCAGTGCATAACTGTAATAGGAACAATGTTATTAATGATCTAGATCTGTGGGTAATGTGATTACATGCAATATGTTGAATGCTTTTACATGTAAATGTACTTTTAGCGTCAGGACAACCTGATCATCCAATCACATTTCAAATTTAAAGCCAAATGTTTTTCAGGGTTCCTGCAGGTTTTATGAAAGTAAATTTAAGACTTTTTTAAAGAGTTTTACTTTGTCCAAGTAAAGAAATTATGATTAATTTTAAGAGAATGCAATATGTAAATGTTTATTGTAAATTTAAAGGGAGCACACATTGAGATGTATTAGTTTGAAAATGCATATCCTTTTATTTAATTAAAATTAATTTGACATCATGTTTGGTTTCAACCACTTGACTAGGCAAATATTTTTGTACCTCTGATCACACTGCAAATAAGTCATGTTTTATCAATATTTTTGTCTTGTTTTCCTGTGCAAATGTCTACAAATTATTAAATCAAGCCACATTTACTTAAGATTTGCAAGATATTGTCTTTTTTCCCGTGAAATTGATCCAAAAAAGCAGGTTTATTATTACAACAATGCCACTGTGCTCCGACAAATCTGTCAAATTAAAATGTTCAAAACCACAGACTGGTATTTGTTCTAGTTTTAAGCATGACCTTCATTTTGTTTAGTTTTCAGTAGGTAATACAATACAGTGCCCTGCATATATAAGTACACCCCTCACAAATCTGTTTTTTGAATTCTTATTTTTAAATTTTATAAGCTATACAATATTATATTTGTGCATATACATTAGATTAGTCTGTACTTTCAGGCAAATCTGAAGCTTATCTAACAAAATAACTTGCGATAATGGTCCAAACACCAGTACACCCACATTTATATGTTATAGAAAAATATTGATTACAAATTTAACATGAGGAAAAATCAAGAGGCAAAACATTAAAAAATTTTGTTGTATTATCTTTCCATTTCTAAATATTTTTGGTGACTAAAATATTTGAATAAATATGTTTAAATAGTTAAAATCTGTTTTGTTTCAATGCTAAAGTACATTGCCTATAGAAATCAGAAAAAAAAATATTAGATAAAAGAAAAATAGATAAAAAAATGGAGTGTACTCGATTATACTGAGCACTGTAGCTTCTTCATTTTGCATCTTAAGTAAATGGATATTGATTTAAAGATGTTTTGGAAAACAACACTGAACACATTTATGCAATGTAACGCAATACTTTGAATTAAACTATGTGCTCAAGACCTCTAAACTGTGAAATTGAAATTTAAGATTTTAAGACCCGCAGAAACCCTTATTACCCTTTTCATTTGTTAATTATTATAGTTTATTTTGCCTGTCAAGATATTTATTTCCACCACATACTGTGGGTTTTGGTTTAAAATATTAATTAATAATGGGAAGACATTTTTATGGTGCCTAATATGGTAATATCGACTCTACCATATAAATACAGTATGAAAATGAATGATAAACTGATGGAAAATGTTCAAGTGACCTCACAATTGTTCAGCCACCTGTCAATTTTATGATATGAATGATTAAATTATTCAAAAGGTGTTCTTCTAAATTTACTTATCTTGTCAAAGCCTATCTCATTAATAGGGCCACATTATTATATATATTAGGGCTGCACAATAAATAGTTTCAGCATTGATATTGCAATGTGATCATTCACAATAGTCACATCGCGAGTATATGCAATGTTTAGTCTAGATTATAATTTATCATTTCGCAAGTGTTTTTTTTTTTTTTTTTTTTTTTTAATGCCTGTGACTGTGTGAGGCTTTTAAAGGCATTCAGCCATAATAAAATTAATTGTTATTAATTTGTTAAAGGTACAAATGGTACAATTCCTTGAGTTTATTAACTGAAGACTGATGTATTATTTTACCTTTGATTATTCAATTAATGTTTACTTGAATACAGATTGACTATTCTGAAAACAATAAAATGCTGTTTATTTAATTGGTATCTTTAAATTTATTGAATTTATTTACGCATGTAGATAGTTTCTTATATTTTATGCATATACACTCCCCTACAGAATCATCCCAATCAATCTAAAATTATAAACTCTCCAAAAAGTTATGCAACAAATCTAGTGAAATTGTATTCATATCGCAGAATAAAACATTACTGCAATGTTGGATTTTTACAGTATTGTGCAGCCCTGATATATATGATATAATATGCAATGTATGATACAGAATTGCTGTTTAATGTTTTACACTGTTACACAGTAAAGCCAACACAATCCTATTCCTATACTTTGTTCTGCTTAACTCAATTTTTACCATTCACATTTATGCTTTAACCAGATGTTTTCATCCAAAGCGATTTTCCACAGAGGATCATAAGAAATTGCCACATGACCAGCAGTGTTCATATTTACAATCCCAAGTTTATTAATAGAAAACAGCACATTTTAAAAAAAAGACATGCATACATATTGCTCTTTTCAGTAGTAACATGAAGAAGTAGGTGCACAATAATTTGGTCCTTGCTGATTTTATTTAAAAGAAGTGCTCCGGTACAGCACAGACAGGGACTGTTTTTTTTCTTTTTCTTCTTCTTCCTCACACATGCATGGGTATGCTCTTGGACAGGGATCTGCTGTTGCTCTTTGGAGTCTGTAAGTGCTGACAGGTCTTACTACAGCAGAACAGCAATACTGGATAACACCACAATCACCTCCAGTATTTATGTGCTGCTTTAGTACATTCCCTTCAGATCTGCTGCTCTCACGCTGGCTTTGAGAGAAAAATCCTGATGATCTGCATTACCATAAAAACATGACGTCCCGTTCTTCAGCATGCAATTTCAGTAATAAGTCTGTGCGGTCACCATATTATTTCTGAAATAAGCATTTTTTAGATTTACTTGTGGCAATTGCTTGAGATTTAATCACTATATATATATATATATATATATATATATATATATATATATATATATATATATATATATATATATATATATATATATATATATGGTATTATCACGATATTGACATAGAAAGCAAAAAGAGTTACTTTAACAGGTAATTGCTCATTTTGTGCATGTATGTGTATTGCTTGATCGCATATAAATGTTCAATGTAATTAAGTGTTTTAAACAAATTCAATCTCAAAAGGATTATAGAGTTCAATGGATAGTTTTCAACATCAACACAGTATGAAATAACTACGCTTGTCATTTAAAAAAAAAATAAGCAACAACTAAAATGTATTAGCGTTTAGCTCCATTAAATATGACTAAATGAACATTAACTGAGAATTGACCATCAGCTAAGAGCAGTAAATACTAGGAATGATCCGATCAATCAGCTGAAAATCAGTATTGGCCGATAATCACATTTCACGACTCGATCGGTACTTGCTAATCTGGCCGATCTCATGAACCGATCGCAAGTGTTTTACAAGTTTACAAGCAGAGGAAGATCCATCAGCAGCACTACAACACATGAGCAATGCTTCCAAATGGCATTCTTAGTCAATTGTATTACCATTTTTTAAATTTGTTTTATTCATTTCGTTTTGTAAAGCTGCTTCTGACCTTTAAATGTGTGCAACATCCTTAATTTATTATCTTAGGTATGGCAAAATTCATTCATTCATTTTCTTGTCAGCTTAGTCCCATCATTAATCCGGGGTCGGCACAGCGGAATGAACCACCAATTTATTCAGCAAATTTTTACACCCCGGATGCCCTTCCAGCCGTAACCCATCTCTGGGAAATGGTATGGCAAAATCTCATACTTAATGGGTAATTGTGCTCTGCAATGGCAAAGTTATAAAAAGCTTGAAGAATCAGAATATGTACTCTATATCAGCCGATCACCATGACAAGTAATCATTACTCCGTATCGGCTGCAACAATCCTGATCAAAGCTTCCCTAATAATTTCTTCACAAATAATTCTCAGTTTAATCAACTATTGTTACCAAATAGAGCCTTATTGTAAAGTGTTATACAATAAATGTGAAAATAGCCTGAGTCTTTAAGCATTTAGTGTTAAAACTCAATACAACAATATGAATATTCTTCAAATCTATTCTAAAAGCTTAAATTAATAATTATTTAAGGTGTTGTTGATGTTTATTATCACAATAAATTGTGTTATTGAATGTTGGCACATTTTAAAAGCAGTACATACACAATTTTCAATAACTACTAGTTTAATGCTATATATCAGTTGTCACAGTGTACATGTATGTGTAATAAATAATGGAAATACTTGTATATTTAGATATTTGTATTGGTGTTATTGCTTATTTAAAATATCATTAAAAGAATGAGCACTCCCTGGTGGGCATGAGAGGAACAACAGGGAGTTAAAAAGCCAAAAAATAAATGTAAAAAATACGTATTTTGGTTCTCAATGTTGTTAATATCATATGTACACTCCCATGAATGTTAAAATACAACCTGCACATGCCAACACAGAGGTACTTATGAGTTTCATTTCATTTTGTACTAAAAATGAATTACATTTGTGTTTAAATAATAGGAATATGTCTTTTCTCAAGGCTGGTGTGGTGTGTTGTACGTCTAGTTGTTGGTTGGCAACTAATGAAGAACAAAAAATAAGAGCCCTCGCCAAGCAGACATGAACAGACATATCCTCAATACAACATGTCACGGTCTGGTGTGCTAAAGCCCTCATTTGCACTTTAAATTAAATAAATATACATGTGCATTTAAAATAAACCCACTTACAAAGATACATAGGCAATATTTGAGGCCGACTGTTAAAATACACAACTTTATTCGCTTGTTAAATATCAGCTTATAATTAAGGCAATTAAAAACATTATCTGACGTATAAAGATGAATATGGAAATGGTTTATTTAAGTGATAAAAGTTATTTAAGTATTTTGCACAGGCTCTGCTGAGGTGGTATGAAAAACTCCAGACACGCACATTCAGCTGGATGCCACATACAGGGTGTAGTTAAACTGCTGCCTACTCAGCGATTTTACAATTGTATAAAACAACAGAAATAGCCTCCTGTTGAAGTGTACAGAATACAGACGGTAAAAAACTAAACACATTTCTAACATTGGTTTTAGTGACCGGTTTACTTCGAAAACTACATCAACAGACCGTGGGGTGTTTCCTCGCTTGCGTTTACAAAGGTTCCCTAAATAGACAACTTTGTACCAATAATAAAAGAGGATGTTGATTGTGCGGATATACTGAGAGACACTAGTTAAACACAAACGAGCGATTAAAACGCGAACTTTTGACTGACGCGCCAAAATGAGACCTCTTTCGTGTAATACAGCAAGCGACGTTTAAGTGTGATACTTTTCTCCGCGCGCTCAACTACAGCAGCGATTTCAAACAAAGGCTCAAGTAGTGAAGGCGACTGGACGCCAAGAGGCGCCTTAAACACCTCCGTCTCTTTCGGAAGGTCAAACTAATGAACAACACACAACTTGACAGCGTGAGAACGAGGAGGGGAAAATGCTGAAAATTAATTCCTCA